GATGTGTAATAGACACATAATTTCATCTAGAAAAATTGAATTGATGACGCATAGTGGTTTTATGCAAGATCTAAGCAATAGGTGATGTTCACAACTGTCTGTTACTCAAATCTGATACAAACTTAAATGAGAAGTTTAGCCTAGTGGGGTTGATCACAGTAAACTTGGAATCCTGTAATTTGTGAATAAGTAATTGTAGTTTATGGGCGTACATTGTTGAAGAGAGTCCCATACCAAGATGAATCAACTGTATATCGAGTGAGACGTGATCACTAATATCTCTCGATTTGATGTCAATGGGTGACAAAGTGATACTTTGAAGTCAATTACGTCCTGCCCCCTCTCCCACCACCACCATGAACACAGCAGTTTCAGAAAATTGTAATATTTTAACATACTACTCATAAGTAGTATGAAAACTAAAGCGAAATTGACTTCCAATCATCGTAATGGTGATAAAACCGTAGGAATCCATCTATTAATTCTTTTTAATGGGAATGAATATAAATTGGAAACACTTTGCTAATATGACTACCACATTTATCCAACTGGATATGATTTAAGTAATTGAACAGCCAATGCGTGTTGTTTTACTCCAAGCTGGGCAAATGTGTGTAGTAGTATCCTTTGCTACTGACGTTGACATTTTCATATGGATGATTGTATCTCGTTTTATACGAAACTTCATATAAAAGTGTTTTAAGGAAACTCCAAAGTTTCGGGTTTTTCTCCTTGATATTATTTGACTCACTGACTGACTGACTTCCAACGTCAGACTAACCTATGCACAATTTGCCACACCCCATGTAGAGAGTAGCATGCAAAGGTATAGCGAAGAAAACAAAAACAAGAATCCCGGTGGGTGCGTACTGCTGAAGAGTCCCAAACTAGGACGAAACAGCTGTCCAGTACTCCCAGGTTTTCCAATGGTTCTCTAACTAATGTCAGCTCATGATGAAATCCTGAAAATTAAAAAGGACTATAATGAGCAGAAATGTACAGGAGAAAGAACAATAATATGAAGAAACATGAGGACTTGATTGATCTGGGAGATCATAAAGCATGAATGCATTTGCTCCATTGAAAAGGATTTTGAGCCAATGTCATCAACATGCGTTTGGTGTAGATTGAATTCTACCAGTCAAGTTTTCAGTGTGTCCACAGGAGGTTAATCACGAGTCTGTGAATAGTTCAGTAGTGTTACATCTGTGACTGCAGCACTGGGGATGACACGGTCTCGAATCTCAAAAAGGATATGAGTTTCTTCAAGGTTCAGATATGCCTTGCTTGACTGCTGAGTACCAACAAGAACAAAATCTAGTTTCGAGACTTCCTTCCGATTGCCTCCATTCATCTAATAACGTTGAGTTTTAGTATCCGTTTACACTCATGTATGTGGCTGGCTCAAACCAACAGTCAAACACTTCATGGATTGATTTCGATCTAATCGTATGTCAACTAACACTGATCGGTTGGAGGATTTCATCATGAGCTGTCATCAGTTAGAGAACTATTGGAAAGCCCACCAAGGAGTACTGAACGGCTGTTTTGTCAGCCTGGTTTGGGACTCTTCAGAAGTACTCACCCACTGAGATTCGAACCCAGGACCTTCTGGTTACAAGGCGATCTCTTAGACCATTAAGCCACTGGGACTCGATCTGATGGCCCATCAATTCTAACTCCTGCCAATTCATGACATACCGTGACCACTTAGCAATGTCTTCTTGGATGATCAGTTACCGCCTCACCTTGCACCCTACTGGTCACGACTTCCCACTATAACTCCAGGTTAACTTCCTGAATAGAACCAGTCTCTAGTGAGCATCAGATTAATTAATTTTCAAGTATTGATTTTGTAGGGATTTTGTCTGATCAACAAAGAATGTGATGCCTTATTATACATAACACATACTAGCCATCTCAATCGATGCAGCTACACAACCTCATTGATTTACTTGCCTCTCTTTGTTTAACACTATGCGCCTAACCTCAATACTACTCACCATATTATAGCACTTACAACGAGAGGGAGGATGCAAACGTCTGTAGTCAAAGATAGTTAATCTTTTGATATCTTTCACTTTCAAAGGCCATGTCACACAGCCATAAAGAAGGATGAGGTGATTGAGTTTCTCATTGGTCTCTGCACACTGCATATTTTTATCTCGATACAGTCGCATTCAGCTAATGAGTCCTGAAGGGAACTAAACATGTGGCCTGGACTCCATAGTGTCAGCTCTCATTAAACAAAAGATTATCCGTAATACTTTTTTGCTTGTATATCCCAGATTCTCACTCAGTGGTATTTTGTAATCCCAACACTTATGACAACAGAGGGGGAAACAGCTAGTTTTGAACAGCTGTTTCGTCCTGGCTGATGACTCATCGGCAGTATGTACCCACCGTCAGGGTTCGAACCCAGGACCTTCTGGTTACATGTCAGGCCCGTAGACCATTTCAGCCACTGGGACCCAACTCAGTGGCCCATGGGTTTGAACGCTGGTGGCGAATGCGTACTGCCGATGGATCCTAAACTGGGACGAAACAGCTGTCCAGTACCCCTGGTTTTCAGTGGTTCTTTAACTATTAAATAAACGTCGGTATATAAGTAGAAATCAGTGCTGCAACTTCTCATTTTTCATGCATTCCTCAGTGATTTCGTCTCACCAACCGATATAATTGTATTGCTTAGAAGCTTGCGTTAAACTTTTGTTTTAATCAATCAGTCTGCTGCATGGAGAGTGACTTTGTTGTTTGCCGTCATCCACCATGGTTGATTGTTATAAAAGCACTTAACATTCATGTATCTGACTGATGTCGTTGTAGATTTACATCAAGAAGTGAACCAGTGGAAACCAGGATGGACTAGACGGCTGTTTCGTCCTAGTTAGTAGTGCCTCTTCAGCCCATGACACATCATTGGGCGGAGAGGGGTGGGGAATAACGCATGACCTTCAGGTTATTTGAGCGAGCATATTTCGTCAAACATTTAACCTTATGAATTAAAATCCGATGTCGTATGGATTAATGAATCACAGTCATACTAAATCAACATTTACTCGATAAAGTTGAGGTGTAACAGTATTGTCTGAACTAAGCCCTATACTCAATCCATCATATATGTATTGTATCTTATTGTTCTCCTCCTCCGCACTCCGATGTTGTGCTTGATGATGATCAATAAAAATGTAATTTAATTATACCTGTCGTACTCTCCCCCCCCACCTCCTACTTCTACTAGCGCTGATACTCTGTTACAAGAAAAACATAAGTAATTAGAATTGGTCGAGATTATTTGACCAGCAGATTGTCTATATATAATTATATGCCTTACTATTTCTCACATTACCTTATCACATCATATCATCACAAATATTTTATTTTATTTTATTTGCTAATGAATTACTCACATCATTAAGTTATTTCTACAATCTCTCCTCTCTCACTTGTCACAACGTGTGTGACTTGCACACTAGAGTTAGTGTGTGCGCGCATATACAACACACAAATTAATTGTGACACTGTCCAACCTATCGAATACTCTAATACTCTGTCTGTCTCATTCAATATCTCCTTAATGCCTTCAAACTCAGTCATTCCTCCGTCTGTTATTCAAACGATAATAATAATAATAATGATTACTATTACTGTCATCATAAGATTGTATTACTACAGACATTTTTATATATTTAGTAAGAGGAGGATTAGATTGGTTAGTGTTGAGTTTGTACTCAAATCGACCACCTCACTCACTCACTCACTTTACTCACTCTCCCTTCCTTCCTTCCTTGTTGTCTTATCCATCCACCACCCATCAAATGTCATTGCTTTGTTTGTTTGTTTTTTCTCTCATCCAATTCTCTTTATTTCACAGTATTAACAAATACAGACAATAGAAAATAAAACTTACACTTATATTAATTGAATGGTATCCAGTCTACACACAGTGTACATTTGTATTATAGTAATAGTAATGGTCCTAGTAGTAAGTAGGTAGTGTAAACTTACTCATGTAATTTTTTTGGACACCCTAATGAATGAATGAATGAATGAATGCATCTCTGCATCTGAGTGAGTTAAACTACTAACCCCCTAACCTTTTACTTATTGACTTATTTTAATGAGAATAGAGTTTTGTGTGTGTGCGTGTGTGAGTGTTGTCTAAAGAAAACAAAGCAAAAACCATTTTTTGTTGTTTAAACATGCATATAAGCATGAAGGCAAAATACAACAGTGTGTCCAAGTGGAGGAGATTAGTATCTACTGTATTCCCATATGTATATGTGTATGTGTGTGTGTTTGTAGACGTATCCAAAGCCTTCACACTTGACAATGCAATGACTGATAATGGTGATGACTCGTTTTGATTATTGTTATTATTGCACTCCAACATTTTGTGTCTCTCTCTTATGGCTCACAGTTAGTAGTCATCCATTCACTCACTCACTCACTGACTCGCTCACTCGCTCCTATGTTCTGTTACTCTAACATATATATACATAAAATTCAAAAAGGTTAGTCATACAATAATAATATAACACCACAAGTCAGTGTCACATAACCAAACCCTATTTCAACCAATAGGAATAGTGTATGTAATATAATAGTAAACTAATAATAATGGATGGATTATTGCACTCTCCCTGCCTCTCTCTCTTTTCAAATTTCCAATATTATTAACTTAGGTATAGAGATCACACTAGATGTGTATTATAGATATATATATATATATATAACACATTATTAGGTAGATGATAGATGCTGCTGCCCCAAATTGTATTCTGACTAATACAATATATTGTTCAATGCATGAAAAGAGATAGAAAAGTGGAGTGAAAGAACGCGAAAAAGTGAGTGAGTGAGTGGATGACTGGACTGGACGAGTGAGAGGGATAGAGAAAGACGCGTCATGCATGCAATGAGAGAGATGTCACAACAACTTAATACTTACTCTACCACTAGTAATAGTAATATGAATAATCATGTTAAACAGGGGGGGTGTGGTGTTGGTGAAGAGGGCTAGATGATGATGATGATGACGATAATAATTCTCGCATAACACGCACACATTACGCACTGGTAAGGAGGAGGAGGAGGATAACAGCAAACACACATACACACATACGAAACACACATACTTAAGTACATACACACTGTGAACCCCTAACCAACCATAGACATCTTTTTCACATATGGGCACATATTATTATTATTATTGTTATACTGTCTAGTCTCGTAAGTGAAGGAAAAAAGGATCATCCAACCTCATAATATACCTTCCTTTATTCTTATTATTACTATAATTGTAAATTTTTTTTTCATAATATTCCGGTCATTTACTTATATACTTAATGTATGTGATGAGTGATGTGTACTCCATGAGAATTCAGAGTTCAATTTCTATTCGACAAAATAGATTTAATAGATGAGTTGTACAGTGCTATAATATAATAAGTGTGGTATAATCGTAATTATTATTACCATTAATATTGTCATTGAATGACCACTGCATTACACATTGGTAAACAAGTAGTCAATACATCACTGACGTCGACAACACCTACGTCATCATCAATAACAGCAGGACCAGCAACAACAACAACAACAACAGCACCGTCTTCATTTATCATTAAAGAACACACCTCCAAATTATCGCCTTATTCATCAACATTTCCTTCTAATTTGAATCAGTCTACTGATCTCATGTCTAGTCAAAATGGTGGACTTGCTTTAGCCTCAGCATTAGCCGGTATCTTAGGCTTACCACCTTTTTTATCGTCAATACTACCGACATCAACGGCGACACCAACAACAGAGATGTCTAATTCATCATTGGATTTAACAAATTTCCTCCAGCATAGCCAACAATCTCATCATCAGAATCCTCATCATCAACCTGAACACCCATCAGAGTCTAGTTTACCTTTATGGCTTTCATCAAATCATGAGAATAATTTTAATGGTATATCATATTGTAAGAGTCATATGGAGACTTTGAACTCAGTTATTACGTCTATTGCTAATGCTAGTAATAATAATATATCTAATATTGAACATTTGAACAGTGATCATTCCATGAATAATTCAGCATATGATACATTTAATCATAATAATAATAATAATAATGATAATATTAATAATAATAATTTAATTAATAATTTTCCATTTATTTTACCCTCTCAACAGACATGCTCTGATGTCTCGTCTGACACGGGTTCTGTACAATCGCCATTTACACCAGTACAATCGTCAACAAGTCAACTAATCAATTCGAATACAACATTTGACAATAATAATAACAATAAAAAATCAATAATATCTACCATGACAACGATATCAACGACACCATCATTGAATCTTGATTCTAGTAATCATAATAATAACAACAATAATAGCCTGTTAAGTTCTGCTGAACGTGATCGTAAACAACGTGAATTTATACCAGATTCTAAAAAAGACGATAAATACTGGGAAAGACGACGGAAAAATAATGAAGCAGCGAAACGTTCACGTGAAAAACGTCGACAAAATGATATCCTTATGGAATGTCGTATTAATCAGTTAAATGTACAAAATCATAAATTACGTCAAGATTTATTAGAATTGAAATTACGCTTTGGTGTACCATTAGATGATGAGGATAGAAAATTTATGGATAATTTATCATCGTCTTCACCGAATGGTGGTTATAATGATCAGCATAATAATAATAATAATAACACTAATAATACAGATAATACTGATAATGATAATAATAGTGATGGTGAAATGACGAAATTGTCTGAAATCGATTGTTGTATGCTGTCGACTACTAAGTCACGAAATAATTCTTTATCAATGGATGATTCACAGAATGAGGTGATTGTAAAAAGAGATCGATTGACGCCTTTGTCTTCAGCAATACCTACAGTAACCCCGACGCCGACACCAACACCAACACCTCTGTCTTTGTCTTCTTCTGCTCCGTCTTCTACCTCAATGATGACAACACTGACACCAATAACAACAACAACAACAACAAATCTCTTCATCCAACCGTCAACACTTCCAAATATTTTACCGTCAGTCATAATACCAACACCGCTGTCATCTTCATCATTACTGCCGTCAGTAGTACAGGGTAATTTGAATGGGAATCAACTCATGGGTGGTGCTGGTGGTGTTGGTGGTATCAATCTGACAACAACAGAGTCTACAGTTGCATCAAATATACCGAGTGTACATACAATTCCTAATAATTTTCTCTTCTCGCAATTAAATTCCCTAGACAGTACAGATTTGTTAACGCTGAAACGTATCTTTACTAGTTTAGGCGTTGGATGTCTACCATCGACTACTACCTCATCACCATCATCATCATCATCGCCATCAGTCATAGTGAATCAGCATTCATCGTCTACACCGTTGATAGCTGCTGCTGCTGCCGCGGCTGCAGCTGTCGCGGCAGTTGCTTCAAACGGTGGAGTCACCTTATCGCCTTTATCACCGGGGAATAGTTTAAGTAACAGTGTGATGAATACAACGCCTACAGTTGCATCGTTTAACAGTCTGACATCATTGAATACAACAGCTGCATTACTACTTCGACAGGCTGCATTAATACCACCATGTACAAATCCGTCTTCTTCACTTCCTTCATCGCATATTTCCACGCCTCTTCAACAGCATCATCAGACAACAATGACGACTGCTACTACTACTATTAATAATAATAATAATATTAATAATAGTATTACTAGTAGTGGTAGTAATAGCATTAATAGCGATGGTCAGTATGAGAATAATTCAAACCTGATAAACAAATTGTCAATCTCATCACCTTCACCGTGTTGTATATTACCACTAGACAGTCGTTGTCCATCAGTACACTCAGTGAAATCAGATCCATCTAATAATTCAAATGATTACCTTGAATCTCCACTGGATCTCAGTCTGTGTTACAGCATGAAAACAGAAAATAACAATTCTGGTGAGTTCTATTTTTGAAAATAGTATTCACAATTACTTCTATTGCTATCATTAATAATAATGTTTATATTTTTGACAGTTTTTTCTCTCTTTTGTGAGTATAATCCTCTGGGTTAACAGGTGATCGATCGATCGATCAATGAATTTAAAGTAGGATAAACTTTGTGGAAATTTTCTCGATGTCCGGGCACCAAGAGATGAGCCGACACTAGGTTTGTGCGAGGACTGGGATACTGGCCGAACACACCTAGGCGCCACCCTACCTACCAACCAGCCTTTGACTTGAGGTCTGATCTATAAGGCGGCAGTGCATCAGCTTCAGAAGCTACGTTCCCATGGTTTTTGGTGATCGAAACAGGTTCATACAACATTCTATCCTTATGGATTTTGAAGTCCATGTACTTCAAAGGTTTGAAATTGAGGTTTTCGAGCTTCATTTAGGTAGACCAGCTTGTTTACCAGTACTCCAGACGTTCACTTTCGTCCTATCACTTTTTGTTAGGAATACCCATGACAGACGCTATGAATGTGTGGCGACATGAAGACATTTCTAGAGAGATCGAAGTCTACCCACTCTCAGTTGTACCTGGTCATTTATAGGGTTGCTTATGCTTGTAAAGACAGACTACCTCAGGGGAAGCTATTTTGGATTATCGATTACCGAACTCCTAGTTAACATGATGCTACTGATTACATTCAGCTGGTGAGTTCGGAGGAGACTAGAGGGGGAGGGGAAATAGTATCCTGGATCCCACTGTTAGAGACTGTTAATCAGATAAGAGGAAAAAATAGTACAGTAGTAGTCTACTGATAGACTTTTTCAAATCATGCAGAATACCCATTTTGGACGTTAGTGAGAAAATAAGGAGTTTAATCATATATGTGTGTGTATGAAGTTCGTTAAGATTCACATTACAACATGTGTTAAGCGCACAAAGACAAGATCTTTAGTTGTAACGTATGTAAAGTAACTGTATGGGGAAAAATTATTAGCATCAATCGGAAACGTCTCCTGAACTTCGATTAGTTTTAAAGGTTTTTGTTCATCTTTGACTGGACATTCTCGGCTCGTTTATTCAACCACCATGGTAACATATATTCCCTGAACAGCTATCTCTTATTTGATGATAACTCGCGAAGAGGGGAAGATATCTCTCTGGTGTATTTCACTATACTTTGATTATTCGTGAATGAATACAATGAATAAGTCTTCCCGTAGTATAGTTCTCAAGAGTTTGGTATATACATAATGCCTATGGGGTGCTTTCCAAAACGATTTCGAAAGTTTACTCCCACATTCAATTCGGCAAATTTGAAAGGGTACAGTAAGATCTTCCGTACCCGGTGGAACATATGGCTTCAAGATAGAGCTCGAAAGATTCACTAGCAGGGGTGTTTTCACGAGATGGGGTTACCAGCTCCACGCCTTACCTTTCCTCTTTATTGGGCTTATTATTGGCTTAAGTGAGGTAAAGGTGTGTATGCGTTAGCCGGAGATCGAATCCCCGAACTGGTGGGATTCCTTCACTGTTCAGTGACCTCACACCTTTCAAATCTTAGGAAAATACCCATTTTGGACATCGGAGAGAAAACACGAAGTTAGGCTCTTTCTTCGTCTTCTTCTTCTGAAGAGGAACTTCTTGTTTTCCTGTATTAGTGCTAATAGTAGTATCATATCCCAGTGTTAACTGATTGTTTAAAAGCAAAATAGCATATAACCTGTCCTTTCAATTTCTAAATACTGTAATTTTAATTGCCTGACTTATATGATTAACACTCAGAAGTTATACCATCGTTTACTATAGGAAAGTAAACATTTTCAGGTCATTTGAGCCTTAAGTTTTACGATCTTTCCTGCTTTGCAGGTCAATCAACCTCACCGACCCGGTGGTCTGGGCCAATTTCTAATTAGTGTGTCCTAGACTGAGCCCACTTCTTGTTGTATACAATCCTCACCATTATGTATACACTACTCTACAATAGGCTAGAACTGTAATAATTAATAATACGAACTTGAGTTATGAAAGACTTAATACCTCACCAGTTCCATATGATATTTATGCCTTTGTCTAGTACATAGAAGTTTTACTGGCTGTTAGCTTAGCTTTCTTTCTTTTCTGAATGTTTGATGTTTTTAAAACGAGAATGTATCCGATTCTCAAGCGTTGATTTGTAGGGATTTGTATGAGAACTACTGAAAATCAAGTAGTAATACAGAGTTGTTTCACCGTAGTTGGGACTCTTCAGCACGGTACAGTATTTGAGCAGCATGGGCCTGCTCACCCCACTCCCCCACAATGATGAGCACACCCTCCTACGTTAACCCCTAGTTCTAGTGTATATCAGTGGATTAAACCAACCAAATAAATAAATAAACAAAATAAAAAAAACAAGTAAGACCTTCTTTCTCACTCCCCTGCAATCCGAGTGGAGATGGGAACTTTAGAATTGAAGCTTGAGTAGCAGTGGTATTGTTATGTTTTAGCGAAGTGAAGTTGCTAGTCATACGCTCAAACTTCCGTCTTTACCGGGTTTATTCACTGGTTAAGTGAGGTTGAAGAGTGCTTCAACCAGAAATCGAACCCAAGCAACGTCCGTGGTTGGCGTGCCGTTTTTTTTGTGATGTTAATAAGAATATAGCTGAGTAATCAGTCTATAACACCGTTTTCCCAGGATATAGAAAAACTGTGTGTTTAGCGAGTTTTCTAAAGTTTAAACAAGTGGTGAGTTTTTCAATCGAATGGATCATAGATTCGAGAACCACTTCGTCTGTATAGACTTTTAATCGACAAATCACGTCGAATTATGGTCTTAAAGTGTATTTCCATACGTCACAGATTTCACTGTGAATAATAATAATATTTAATTGGATCTAAACATCTCCAATTAAGATGACACATTTTGATCAAATCTTGGTGAATAGAATCTACTCAGCTCTCCTCCGCAGCCTATTGAAATCTTTTTGAAAGGAAAGCAATATGTGTAAGAGGTGTACGTGAACTAGCTTGAAGTTTCAGGCAGCAGTAGTTTTATTTTTACGGAATGGGGTTGTTAGCCTCACACCCGACCTTCTACCGGCTTAGCGAGGTTCAGGAGTGCATCGGTCGAGGAACGAACCTTGGACCACCTGCATGGTTGGCGAGCGGCTTACCACTGAAGCACCATCATGTAGACTTGACGACAGTTAATTATGTTTAGAACTGATGTAAATTAGTTTAATCTGATCAGTAAAATATGATGTAGATTCACTGAAATGTGTAATTGCAATGATGCCTGTACCGTGGCTTACTTGTGCTTAAAGGACACATCACTAGGTGGATCCATTTAAATAACAAATTGTCATTGACTTCAGGAATTATATATTCATTCCGTTGCATTACTAGTGGCACATAGGACTTCAGGCTCCAGGCTTTGAAGTTTCAGTAGCGATGATGTTTTTACAGAGTATGAGGTCTCCAGCTTCACACCTAGTCTTCTGTTTTTTCCGGACTTTCTGCTTACTGGTAGGGGTAGTTTTGGAGTATACCAGCTGAGAATCGAACGCGGACCTCTCCTAAGTGGCTAATGAGTGTGGTGACTGCGGTTAATCGATATACTTAATATTCACTCTTCAGTATCTTCTGAAGTCCGTATGAAGTGGAAAAAAAGCGTCTCATTTTGATGATCACACAAACAAGTGATGCCGAATTCATGAAGTTTGTAATCCTTGGTTTCAATGGGCTGTAAGATAACTGAAAACATGGTTTTTTTTTACCGCTTAAGGTTATTACCGTAATGCCATATAGATTTTCTACTCTCTTATTACTACTGTTGTGTTACTTGTGTCTTTATATTCCTTTCAATGTATCCGTGTGTGTATGTGTGTGTGAAGTGTTCTGATCTGAATCGAGACTACACTGAATTTTATTTATTAACTGGTGTTTATAACACTGGTGACCTGAAAATGTGGCTCTCACTTGAGTCTCACCCATTGATTCAGTGGGCCCAAGACTCCTATCCCACTCCACTTGCATATACAGTTTATTTCTAAAGTCTGTTAGTCGTAACGATGATAACTTGATGATATTAAGTAAGTCTTTCAGAGCTTATGGGTAATCATAGAGCCAATTAAAAAAGGCTGTAATGAACAAGATGAAGTGGTAATATGCTCCACTTGGAACCTAAGGGAATAACTATAATATAATATAATAACTTTAGCATTATATAGTACCAGTTTCACTCTCAGAGGAAATGTAGGTTTTCTCATGATCTAAAGTCTCACTGCAACCTATCGGCTTTGTGAGTTCAGTAACTGACTAATATGACCGATGAATTGTTGATGTAAAGCAGGTTAATCACTTAATGTGAACGACAATAGAGAGTGACAATGGAGAGTAATTAATCAAAGATTAGTAAATTGGTGGATGGTGACTAGCTGTGGAATCCAGAATGCGCATTTCGTCATGTTTGGAACTCGTCAACTGGATGCACCCGCATTCCCCTATGAGTCAGTGATGGTGTTCCCAATGAGGTTCAAACCCAGCGCCCATAGTTTCAAGCGCCAAAGTGTTATCCACTAGACCACTTGAGTCACTGCCGAGCACTTTGGTCCAATTAGTCGACGGGAAAATCTAAGATGGAATTAAATAAGTAATAGAACGCGCTACACACGAGGTGGCTCTCGTGACCCAAGTGGTCTAGTGGATAACTCTTTGGTGTTTATAACTATTGGCACTGGGTTCGAGCCCCAGTGTGAACACCATCACTTACTCACTGGGGAATGCGGGTGCATCCAGTTGACGAGTTCCAACGCGACGAAATGCGCATCCTAGATCCCGCTGCTAGTTACCACCCACCAATTGACTTCAAGTTACATGACCAGACATCATTGATGCATCTGCACAAGAAGCTGACATGACAACTTGAGACCGAACACTTCAGTCCAATCAATCGACGGGAAAATCTAAAATTGAATTAAAAAGGATTAGTAAAGGCGTTAATAATTTGGAAGAAGACCAATCA